CGCAAAGGTGTTCGACGGACTCGAGAAGTTGTGCGAGGATATGGCCCAGATGGCGCAGCAGCACTGTGACCAGCTGCAACAGTTTGCTAACTTGCAGCCGGCCCAAAATGTCCTTCTGCCTGCGTACCCTGCTTGACCGCGCATTTTTGCTTGGATGTGATTAAAGGTACGGTCCCCTCGCCTGGGCCTCTGACTCATAGCGTATACAGATTGGCTTACCCTCATGCGGGACTTAGTCAAGCTGGAGGTACAAGACCTCTCGGTGGATCGGGTGGCAAAAAGGCCACCGGCCGCAAACGGTTTCCAGGCAGCAATCGTTTTTCAGTGCACGATCTACTTGAGGATGACGAGGAGACCTTCGCAGAGAATCCTTCCCTTGATGACGATCAAGAGCGTATGTAAATGACGAAGAATCCATGAATGCCTTCACGAAGACTGCCTTTAAAAGTAAGGGACCGAGGACCACAATGAAGAATAACACTAACACCATTCTCCTTCCCAAGGGAGCGAAGATTCCACCCAAACCAGAAGATCCTGCCACAAAACCATGGGTAGATCTTCGGATAAGTGAAAGTTAGTGGAAACACAGGGTGAAGAAAGGGGTTTGCCTGCATTGCACCAAACCGGACATTCAGTCCAACATTTTTTGAGATTGCAGCAGGGAAACCAGCAACAGGGGTAAAGACATTATCAGCACGCTCTACAAATGGAGAGGCGGAACAAGTGCAGATCCTTCATTGGATTCTGATCCCACTCAGCAAACCTCTCCTAAAACCCCATCTGATGCTGATTCCAAGGCTGAGAAAGTACAGATCCTATACAAGGAGCCTTGGGTGGAGTAGGAAGAAATTGACTTTCATTCTCTCTTGTTGCGTTGGGCTCACATGAAGCAAGAACGCGCGTAAGGGAAAACGAAGTTGATCTTCTTCAAACTCCGCATTAATGGCCGTTACATCCGTGCGTTGGCTGATTGTGGTGCAACCGCTAGCTACTTCTCACCGCACGACATTCGTAAGGCACGCTTGGGAATGAAGCAAGCGACTTTACAGAATCCTTGTCGGACCCAAGTGGGCGACCAAGAGGTTGTCACGTCTATGCATGCAGTCCAAGGTGTGTGCACTACCTTTGACGCAGACCGTACAATCATGCATGAGTTGAATTTCTATGTCCTTGATCAGTGCCCCTTGGGCTGGTTGCAGGCCCAACTTCTCTATCGTTGCCCGACCACTGTCCAAATTGACAAGCAAGAATGTATCCTACACCTGGAATGAGCAATGCACAACAGCCTTCCAAGCATTGAAGGAGGCTTTGGCGAGTCATTCGGTGCTCCGCATGGCAGATCCCAAACTTACATTCGTAGTAACTACGGATGCCAATTTGTATGGGACTGATGCAGTGCTGCAGCAAGATGATGGCGACGGCTTACGTCCGCTCGAATTCTACAGCAAACGTATGCCAGCCACAAGGTAGCTGCCTCCACTTACATGCGAGAGCTCTATGCCTTGAGAGGGGTGCTTTGGGTCGCCATTTCAAAGTGTTCTCAGACCACGAGACCTTAAAATGGATTCAGACACAGACCAATCCCTCAACTACACTGACCCGCTGGCTGCATGAGATTGCTGTGTATGATTTCGAAACTTAGGCACAAGAAAGGTTGTTACAATCGCGTTGTGGATGCTTTGTCTCGCCACCCCGAGTACATGACTTGTCTTGTGGGCTCCTAAGATCTCCGTAAGAATTTGAAGGAGGAAATCATTGAGCATACTGCTGAGGACCCGGAACTCAGTCCCATCCTTGAGCAGATTCGGGCTGACCCTAACAGCCAGCTTGATTTCCATGAGTGTAAGGGCTTGCTTTTTCGACGTTACGGGAAGCACGACCGACTGTGTGTACCCAACTATGAGCCGATCCTTGCTCGCTTCTTGGACTTGGCTCATGGCCGGAGTGGACACTTCAGTTTTGAGAAAACATACGGAAGTCTGCAGCAAAAGTTTGTATGGCCTGGAATTAAAGGAATGGCACGGAAGTTTGTGGCTGAGTGTAAAGTTTGTCAACGTATGAAACCGTCTAGGCAAAAGCCCTATGGGCTGCTTCATCCTCTTCCTACTCCTGATGGCCTGGGTGAGTCTCTTTCCATCGACTTCACGGACATGGGGAAGAAGAGTAGGAATGGATATTCGCAAGTAATGGTGATTGTTGACCGCTTTTCAAAATTAGAAGAGTAGGAATGGATATTCGCAAGTAATGGTGATTGTTGACCGCTTTTCAAAATTTCTGAATCTGATTCCATTACCACCTCACGCCCCAACTGACCTTGTGATCAAAGAGTTTCATAAGAAGTACATTTTGCAGTGTGGGCCCCCGAAAAATCTCGTGAGTGATCGGGACACTAGTTTCATAAGTGCAGATTGGAACGACTTCACCTCCCATATCTATGACATCAAACTCAAGATGACATCTGGTCGACATCCCGAAGCCAATGGGCTGGCCGAGGAGATCAACCAGACTGCGATCCAACTTCTCCGAGCTCTGTTGTGCCTGATCAGAACTCTTGGGATGAGGAGTTGCCGATTGTGCAGGGGTTGTACAACAACTCCATACACTCCTTCATCGGGATGACACCTAACCGGCTGCACCAGGGGTGGAAAATTCGCTATCCTCTATCCTATCTGTTTCCTGAACAGCCACCTGGCCTGACACCTGGCCAGCTAGGCTACAGCGCTAAGTTTGATCGTTGCTCAAAGTTGCTGTCTCAGCTATGGAAAGGTGACGCAGTGCCATGATTAAGCATGCAAACAAAAAGCGCCAGCCTGACCCTCGCAGTGGGAAGTTATGTTTGGGTTGCAAAAAATCAACCAGATTGACCTAGGGGATAAACTAAAAAGACTGAAACAAAAACACAAATAGGGCCAGAGAATGCAATAGCATTGTAAGGACGAAGTTGCACTGATCTAGCAAGAAGATGTCTGAGTTTTCTGAAGAAGGTGTATCACGGAAGCTTCTTCCTCAGTTCTATGGTCTGTGGAAGGTGCTGAACCGAGTAGGAGATGATTCCTTTGGTCCTCCTTACACGATCGACGTGCCTACTCATCTGCGCACGTACCCAGTCTTTAATGCGTTGAAGTTGTTTCCGTATGAACCACCTGAAACTTTTCCGTATCGAGAATCAATGATTCCCCGCGCAATCAATGGCGGTCACGAGGTTGATAGAATTGTTGAGCACAGTGGAAAGGGAAGAAACAGACAGTACAAAGTCGATTTCCTGTACCACCCGTTGAATGACTTTTATTGGATCGCTAAGAAAGACTTGCTGCAGAGTGCCCCGCGAGTCGTCAATGCACGATTGATTAGTTCTGAACAGCAGCCTAAATTCACTCCTACCCTCACTCCTACGGAACATACCCGATCTCTCTTTGCTATTTACGCTTATGATGCATTATGCAAGGACTCTGATTGAGTTACTCCCTCGAAGGGACCTCACTCTTGAGGGGGGGGTTGTGTAATCACCCGCCATAACACAGACTGAGAACACTGCTGATTTCTGAAGTTTTGCCGATGGAATGGATGCCTTGCTGAGATTCCCGCATTCTGCTGTGTTTTCCGAGTCTGTATGTGTGCGTGCCTGTCTGAGTGCTTGTCGGCATGAGTTTGTGTGTGACCCACAAGGGTACTTGCTTGTTTGGCTGGCCCGTAGGGCCGGTACTTACCTGTGGCCGTGGCATTGAGGTTTGCAACAGGGAAAACACTCAAGTAGCGGAGCCAGGGGCCCGCGGTGCTTAGAGCAGCTGAAAAACACTCAGGTAGCAGGTAGGCCGGTACCACACCCAGTAGCAGTAGATGTGCCGGGTACGCGAGCAGAAGAAGACTAGTTGGCATTTTTAGAGGCCCAGTAGCGGTAGGCTCGGTCTAGGCCGGTACCAGTCCTTCCAGTCTGAGTGTAGAGCCTGTGCGGGCAATATCAGAGTCTGCGATGATGTTTCCCTCCGAAAGGGAGGAGGTACCGGTTGCTTGGGAGGCTGAGCGGCCTGGAAGTCACCGCCCAGGAGGCAAGCAGGCCGCTATATCAAGAGGCCGAGGCAAGAGCTCGACCTCATTCTTCAGTGTGCGAGTTGCGCGTCACGCTGTTGGAGTGTTGGTTGGAAGAGCGCTGACTGCTACAGCGCTAGTGGGAGGAAGAAGCCGGGAGCTTCCACCTCGGCTATGGTGGAGCTCGGCCGGTAGGAGGAGGGAGAAGGGGACCAAGGAGGAGAGTGGTGGGGTACTTACCTGGCTATGGTGGACACCATCTTCATCGCCTTGTCAGGCGCTGCATCTGGAAGGCCCCAGTTGGGGTAGTGCCGCATCAAGGAAGCTCGGGATGGAGTCGAGCATGGTGGTTGAGTGGGCAGCGGCATAGCTGCATGGTGTTGACCTTGGGACAGAAGGGCGGCAACATAGCTGCTTTGGGTTGTCCTTTGGACAGGAGGGTAGAGCCCTCAGAGCTCCGCCATAGCCTCGGCCTGTATGTAGAGGAAGAGGAAGGGTGGCCATGGCTATGGTGGACCTCATGTTGTGCCTGCAGTAGAAGTGGTAATCAGACATTGATTCTGGTTCAGCCATTCAACATTATTATTGTTATTTCTTGTTTGAATAAGAGGGGAGGAGATAAGGAGGAGGAGATTGGTTGGCGAAGAAGAAGAGCCTTGTCATTGGCCTATGTTGGAGTACATTTCTTACGTCCTCTTCTTCTTTCCCTCTCTCTCCTCTCAAGTTCATTCATTTCTTTTTGTAATTGGATGGCATTGTACTTTCTGATGTATGTATACTTCGAAATTGGCCAGGATTGTAACACCTATTAGGCTTCTGACAAACTGCTTGGCCACCTTGTTCTCTGATATGCAGGTGGTTTCGGCAGTGGTGAATAACAATTTGACGTCTCTGGTATCATCCCGTCCACTGAGATTATGGAAAGAAACTCTTGCCCTACTCTGCACGGTCAGTTAATCAACTCGAGAACCATGAGCAGCGTGACCCATTGTAGTGACTTTTTGTGTTACCTCCTGCATTTTATTCTTTCTTTGACACTCATGCATCTCTCTTGCTTTGCCGCACAATACAGGGTTGGACGAGAGGCATCGGTTGAACTGATGCATCGCTTCTCTCTTCTCATTCTCCATCTCTTTTTTTATTTATCAACTCTTGGTTCTCTCGGGCTGTCTTGCTTTGCCGCACAATAAAGGGTTGGACGAGAGGCATCGGTTGAACAGATGCATTGCTTCTCTCTTCTCATTCTCCGTCTCTCTTTCTATTTATCAACTCTTGGTTCTCTCCGGACCAGAGTAACAAAGGAGTACCATTTCTTCCGAAACTTGTTGCAGTCACATGAAAACTTATTATAGTTTGGTTTGTTCCTGTCATACTGGAACCTGTTGATGAACAGTGGATGGCAGAGTCTTGTACATGTGAACCACCCTGCTCTTGGCGGGGTCCATTTTCTAGCCGCGGGCTGGCCCTCGTTGGGTGGCAATGCGTGAGCTTTATCTCAGCTGAGTTTGAGCATTTTTCATGCTCATAAGTCTTGATGAAACATTCTTGAAGAGCCAGAGCTGTAGATCGAGCTCCCATGTGTGTGGGAAAGATATAAGGCAAGTCCAAAAACAAATTCTTTATGACAAGCAGATTTCTGGCTCCAAAAGTATGTCTTATCCGAAATCTTCTTGGCTCACTGCTCCAGGGTTCAGAAAAGTGACAGGTTTGCTGAACTAGACTTGGCGGCAGTGTTTTTTAATGCAGTATCTTGCTTCTTACCCACATCTGTTTTGCAATTGAGCTGACCCCAATGTGAGGAATGAGCCCTCGCGGGGCCGCTGTCAGCCATGCACATGATCTGGGCTGAGGTCCCCAGCAAGCCCTGTGCCCGCCCTGAGTGAAGGCGGGCCTGAATATCTACGTGAGGCCTATTTCTGACATTTTTCACTACGTGGGTACTCAGACAGTTGCAGCACGCCAGTTGGTTACAGGGAAACGTGAGCCTTCTGGCTGTTTCCAGAAACATGGGCTGCGCTGTACAGTTGAGCCCAGGGCCCGGGTGGTTGCGCCCTGGGCACACGCAACATGAGGCCGACACATCACGCAGAGGCCACGGACGAATGAGAAAGCAGCATTGTTGTTACACATGAGCCATGAGCCACTGAGAGAGCGGCGAACACTTGGAGGCTGCGTGGCTGCCTGAATGTGCCTAACTGCACGAGGCGCAAACCAATATCGGGAACTGGGCCTGGGGCCCAGCCGAAGCTACTGGGCCCCCACACACGCCTGGCCAGGCCAGCCAGCCGCGACACACTCTCCACACGGGAAAGTGTGAGCCTCTGGCAGAGGCATTCTGGCCTTGGCAGGCAATGCGGGCACACTGCTGCATTTCTGCGCTAGCATCTGCCTGAGCGTGCTGGTCGGACGCGCGCACGGGCGCTGAGGTGAGGGGCGCTGCAAGGGCAGCGGGCGCAAGGCAGGTGATGGCGAAGGTGGTCTTTGGGTAGGAGGCGCATGCTGTGGAGAGACGAGGGGTGATAACGAGAGGAGAGAGAATGTACCTGGTGTATGCTGATGATCGGCATTGTCATGTACATTGGTCTTCGACTTCAGAGTGATCCAGTTGCGAGAACGTAGATAGGTTAGATAGGCTGAGTAGTTTAGGCTGGGTGCTGGGCGCCTGACAGTAAGTGCAACATTGGATATAGTGTTGGTGTGACCAGAGAGTGGCGACGTTGACATTCGAGATCATTGTATTGCTCTTATTTGGACGGTATCTTGGTGCATTGCACTCTCTGCTTGGTTCATGACTATCTGAGCTGCTTCGTGATTTTGCAACTTTGATTTCTGTCTATCGCAGAATGCGGTGTGAAGGGAGTTGATCTTGTCAAAAGGTATGTGACAAGAGGTGGGGGCAGAATGGGTTGTGAAGGGAGTTGATGTTGTCATTGCAACTTTGATTTCTGTCTATTGCAGAATGGGGTGTGAAGGGAGTTGATCTTGTCAAAAGGTATGTAACAAGAGGGTGGGGCAGAATGGGGTGTGAAGGGAGTTGATGTTGTCAAAACGTATGTGACAAGGGGAAACACGTTGCAGTTGGAAATTGCTGATGTGAGAATTTAGCCATCCAAGATGTCCTCAGTACGGATCGTCTCGTCATGTGGATCTTAAGACTTTAAGATGGCACGATGATCCAGGCCGTCCGCCAGCGTGGAAGACCTGGATGGTTGCATGAACCATCGAGCCAGACAACAGCCTGGATTGTTGCGCAATCTTGAAGTCTTAAGATCATGTCTCTTATACACATCTAGATGTGTATAAGAGAAAGGAGCCATCGAGCCGGCTGGCGGCCTGGATTGCCACACGATCTTGTAGTCTAAAGATCGTGCGATGATCCAAAGCAGTTGGAAATTGCTGATGTGAGAATTTAGCCATCCAAGATGTCCTCAGTTCGGATCGTCTCGTCATGTGGATCTTAAGACTTTAAGATGGCACGATGATCCAGGCCGTCCGCCAGCGTGGAAGACCTGGATGGTTGCATGAACCATCGAGCCAGACAACAGCCTGGATTGTTGCGCAATCTTGAAGTCTTAWGATCACACCACGAACGGAGCCATCGAGCCGGCTGGCGGCCTGGATTGCCACACGATCTTGCAGTCTTAAGATCGTGCCATGATCCAAACCCTTGTGCAGACTGACGACCTTGATCAACTTGCCTGTTGGGAAGAGGTCCTGTACGAGCCTGTAGGTAGTGAAAAAAACAGCCTTGCCTGATGCCCGGTGCCTGTTGGGCGTTGGCCCATTGCAGGGCGGCCGTTGAGACGGCCCCATTGCCGTACTGGAGTCTAACGGCCCATTGAGTTGAGGGCCTGGCCGTACTGGATAGGCTACCCACCGGAGAGCTGCTCTATGGGACGGTACCAAAGCCTACAAATGGCTCTGCACGGACTGACTAACATCAGTGTGGTGTGTAGCAAATGTGCTGTATAGCAAACAAAAGGACACACACTCGCAACGATGTGTTGTAGACGGACACCTTCCCGCCCGAACAAGCACACACACAAACATATGCTCCTGAACGCACGCACACAAATGCATCCTCGGCCGAATGTCGGGGTTCAATCTCCTTGTACAGCCTGACGGCCTAGATCAAGTTGCCCATTGGGAAGAGGTCCTGTACGGGCCTGTAGGTAGTGAAACAACCCGCCTGGCCTTATGCTCGGTGCCTGTTGGGCATTGGCCCAATTGCAGGGGGGCCGTTGAGACGCCCCCCTTGCCGTACCGGAGTGTAACGGCCCATTGAGTTGAGGGCCTGGCCGTACTGGATAAGCGACCCGCCGAGGAACTGCTCTACGGGACGCAATGTTGTACCAAAGCCTACAAATGGCTCTGCACGGACTGAGTAACATCCGCATGGTGTGTAGCGAATGTGCTGTATAGCGAACAAGACGACACACACTTGCAACGATGTGGTGTAGACGGACACCTTCCCACCCGAGCAAGCGCACACACAAACATATGCTCCTGAACGCAAGCATGCAAATGCATCCTCGGCCGAATGTCGGGGTTGAATCTCCCGGTGAGTCGGTGACAGAGTCCGGTGAAACACTTGGGCACAGTTGTGCTTTTTTTGTGGAGTTGTGTTTGACGAACATGAGAATACACATGCACATGCACACACGAACACAACACTGAGGGGAGGGGGGAAGAGCCTACAAATGGCTCTGCACGGACTGACTAACATCGGCATGGTGTGTAGCGAATGTGCTGTATAGCGAACAAGACGACACACACTCGCAACGATGTGGTGTAGACGGACACCTTCCCACCCGAGCAAGCACACACACGAACGTATGGTCCTGAACGCACGCATGCAAATGCATCTTCGGCCAAATGTCGGGGTTCAATCTCCCGGTGAGTCGGTGACAGTCCGGTGACACACTCGGGCACAGTTGTGCTTTTTTTGTGGAGTTGTGTTTAACGAACATGACAATACACATGCACATGCACACACACGGGGCGGGGAGGGAGATAGATAGATAGATAGATAGATAGATAGATAGATAGATAGATAGATAGAGAGAGAGAGAGAGAGAGAGAGAGAGAGAGAGAGAGAGAGAGAGAGAGAGCACCCTGCCATAACGATGCTGAGTGATGAAATGACGATGAAGCTGACAATGAAGATTGGAGATGAGGAGCAGGATCTGCGAGAACAAGGTCAGATGACAATGGTGTCAGGAATCGGTAGAAGGCTAGAAACCGGCTACGGCCATTTCATTTTTTTTTCCTTGTTGACTCTGATCGGGAAAGTGAGAAGGGACATAATGATGGGATTGAGTTTCGAAAGAGGAGCAAAAGCTAATTGGGAGGCATATGACGAGGTGAAGGACTCTAGATTGGAATGCAATGGGGAGTGGAGGGTATGGGGGAATCAGGATGAGGGGAACGGAAGATGGGTGTGAGGGAATGCAATGGGGAGTGGAGGGTATGGGGGAATCATGATGAGGGGAATGGAAGATGGGTGTGGGGGGATCAGAGAAACTGATGAGGGGAACTGTGACAGTACGGTGTCGACCGGCAGAAAGGTTCTGCCAGAACCCTGTGAACTGCCCGTGTCTGTCACCCACAGGAGGGCTATTTCGCGGCCCCTGTAATGTGTAGGAAAATAACGAGGTTAGCCTCACAAAACTGACCGAATGCAAAGGACGCAGTCAAATTTTAGGAAGAAATAGAATAAGCATTTTATTCAGTCCAAAATAATAGGGGAGGCTGCACTGCAACCGGCGTCAGGGACGGGTCCAATGTCTGAATTAGGAAAGTCTGTCTGAGTCCAAACAGAACGCACAAATAACCTATGCCTGATCTTTCGGTCCACGGGGTGCCGGCTATTGCAGGCTTGTTGGTCCCAGGGCACTGTACTACAGCTCTCGGTATCGGAAGTGTAGTCGCGGGCACATTTGGGAAAA